ATCCCTAAAATTTCCATTGGAATTCTGCTGTCAGTGTCTGAAGAAATGAATATTCCCATACGGAAAAAAAGGGCTAACAAACTACTGTAACAAACTACAAACAAACCATACTGGCTTGATAGTAGTTTCATAGTATAGCAAATCACATGCAAATGAGCTAACAAACTACTATCAAACAAACTATAATCAAACCACTCTAACAAACCACAAACAAACCATTTATAGGAACCAAGCACTTTATTTGAAACAAACTACTAATAAACCATAGGTAACAAACCACTAACAAACTATAGGTAACAAACTACAAATAAACCATAGGTAACAAACCACTAACAAACTATAAGTAACAAACTACTAATAAACCATAGGTAACAAACTACTAATAAACCATAGGTAACAAACTACTAATAAACCATAAGTAATAAACTACCAACAAAAAACACTGTACACAAACTACTAGCAAATCACGATCATTTACAACAATGTGCATAACAAATATGGGAATAAAAAAAATTAATACTGTATATACCACAAGTAATAAACTACTAACAGACAGCATCAATACACAAAATATTAGCAAATCATTTATAACAACATGATGCAAAAAAAGTATGGGAAATAAAAAAATTACCGGTATTCATATTTATATATTTAAAAAAAATAATCAATACTTGTATTCATATGTATATAACCACAAATAACAAACTAAAAACAAACAGCATCATTACACAAAATATTAGCAAATCATTTATAACAAACGTGCAAAAAAAAAATTTAAAAAATGGGAGATAAATTACCTGTCAAGATTGTAGCACTCATAGAAAACACATCTGAACCGTATAGTGGTTTATTTGAATCTCAACAAGTATATAACATAACGTTATAGTAACGTCTATGACGTCATCGTACTATGACGTCATAGTTCGGTAAATGTCATCAATATACATTGTAATTGCATTGAAAGGTAAATTAGAAAAGTATTACTGTCTATATTTCACAACATTACCGGTATTCTTATTATTAAAAAAACAAAACAAGAAAACAAACAAATTACCCGTATTCAGATGGTTTTTGTTAATATGAAGTTTGAAAACTTGAAAACAAAAGAGTTTATGATGATATCAATGGTAATTGCGAATTATGTATAAATAAAACCTTCATAACAAGTTTTCCTTTGAATACAATTTAAAGTACTTCATGAAAGACTCAATTTTTTGTAGAACTACTTCCTCACAACTTTGAATTTCTAATAATGAGCGAGTGAATTGCTTACAAATTAACATGACAATAAGATTATTGAATTTTCTAAAAAATGAACAAACATCATAAGTAACAAATGTCTATGTATTATTAAGTGTAAAATTTCACATTCCAAAGGAAAATACGCGGGTATGTTAAGGAAGCATATAAGTCATTCCTCGGGAAATTTAGACTTTTTAAAGAAAATTAAGTTTGATTAATTACCAAAACCGCTGATAAACGTAAACTGTTATTAACTATTTTAAACAGATAAAAGAGTGTCTAACGCAAAGACGTACATCACCGCCACGGTATCACTTGGCGTCTATTAATAGCGAAATTTTCCTTAATAAAAAGACTAACAGAACAACAATACCCCGGAGTTTAATGCTTTCTTTGAGTAAATAATATAGTTGAAAAACATCTAATTTTCCTAAAAAGTGCTGCTAGAATCCCACTGTCTTGTCAATAAAATAATTATTCCTTATATTCACACGAAACCTTACCCCATGGTTTGAATTTTATACATATGAACCGATATTTTTCGTAAAACCATGTTTAACTCGGGATTCTAGCAGCACTTTTCAAGTTTGTCAGAGGGCAAACTTTCCATCTGTATAAATTTTATGTTTTGAAATATCCAGCTTATTGTTGTTCTATCGCATTATTTTTGTCACGAATGACAGAGGACAGGCCGACCGGTATACGTTATTAAGGTAACTGTCTTCGAAAGAGAATATAATCGATGAAAATAAATTAGCATACCTGTATAAATAAATGAACTCCATATGAATTTCACATAATATTCACGATACTTCCTTTTAAACTCCATTTTACGTATCTTTGTACGTGCCGTCTTAGCCAAATTCTCTTTACACAACATCATCAATTCCCAAGTTACTTGATGTACACATATGACGTCATCGGTGGCAGATTTAAATCAAAATGACAGATACAGCTTAACAAAATAAAAACATTTTATTTTTGTCATTGTTTACACGTTTCTATTCATTTTCTAGAGTTAAATTACATCTCTAAATACCAGTATTACACAGGCAAAAGTGGCTCGCATGAACTTCATATGAAATTCGCATGAATATCGTGCGAATTCTTCGCATGAAAAGGAGACGAAAAAGACCACGCATGATATTCGCATGAAAATATCATGCGATTTTGACATGAAATTCGCACGAATATCATGCGACTAAAAATTCGCACGAAATTCATATGAATTTTTTTGCTGCTTTCTTTACAGATTTTCATATGAATTTCATGCGAATTTCATGTAAATATCATGATATATTCATATCAAATCCATGTGATGTAATTTATATATTTTTCCTAGTATATTGAACTTTCAATTCTTTTAATCCATTTGATGAAAAGTATTAGGAAATTCTAATACTTAGATCTGTATATGAATTTGTATAACTAATCATCAAAGTTTCACTGTTACTGTATTCAAAACAATGCAATAAGTACAATCTCAAAATCTGATCCAGCAAATGACTTAATGAGCTTTATCTAAATCTTAATTTGAAACTGCTTAATTTTAACACATACAGATTTTGAGGAAGCACCACTATGATTATCCAAGTTATTCTTTTGATGAACAAACAACTGGACACATTCTGTTTCTTAATCTTCTTTATTGAATGCTTCAATTCTTTTTAACATTCTCTGCTCAAGGGCCACCCATCTGTCTGGAGATTGTTTCATCTGCAAGAGAAAATAATTGTAATGAATACTGGGTACCGGTAAATGAAATACAGTCATGAATTTTACAACTGCTTTTCCAAAGTCAATATTTCCCTACTTATCAAGATAACATAAAATATGAACAAAAGTAGATATAGCAATCTCATATCACCCCTAAGTTCAATTTGGTAAAAGGTTGAATTTATATTGCCTACATTGTAAATGATCTTTAAAAAATTAAAAAAACATACATCATAAATTATAATGATTTCAAAATCATACATCATAAATCATAATTAAAAGTATAATTATAATGTTTCTTAAGTATAAAATTATTGACAAAAAATGAAAACAATTTTCCTGCAAATGACTTTAAACTTAAAAACAATCTTGTGTCAGGTATCAATTAAACCTTGAGATAATTGTCTCTGTTTTATTGACCTATGTATGATGATGCAATTTGTATCTGTTGCAAGGGAATTTAAAAGCAAAATTTACCTACCATTGCATCTATGTTCCTTCTGAACACGTACACGCAAGAAATCTGTGGCTGTGGTAGCTGGATTTTTTCCTGAACAATTTGAGTCCATCAGCGAAAGATCTCTGTAAAGCAAAGAACAGAAATAAATCTAAAAATATTATTAAGACTAGTCATGAATTTTATATCTTCAAAGTTCAACTTTTTAAAGGAATAAGTTTGAATCTGTTTTACTATTTAAACAGTCATGGAAATATTATGCACTAATTTTGCCTCTGTTATCAAAGATTGTTGGGTTTATATTGTTTTTGTACTGTTATGTCCATCTTTCTGTCTTAATATTTAACCTTTAAACACATTACTTATGAGTGGGTGGAGCTATGGCTTCATATTCCACAGGTGTATTTCATGTAACAAGAACTTTATCAGGGTACTATAAAATTTGACCTCTTGACCTTGATATTAGGGTTTGATCCACTTTTACAAAAAAAATCCCTAAACTTTAACCTAGGCTAATAATTTTGAACAGTTAGTGCTATCAATCTGATACTTCACATTATTTTGTAATCATTGTGACAAAACCATTCAATAAGTTTTTTTTACCTTAAAATTGGTCTTGACCTAAGAGTTTGACCCACTTTTAAAAAATATAATCTAGGCCATAACTTTTTAACAGTTAATACTAAAATTCTCATATTTCACAGGTTAAATTATTCCTTATGACAAAACCTTCCTTCAGATGCTAACAATTTGACCTTTTGACCTTGACCTTTAAGTTTGCCTTGCTTTTCAGTCCTTGCTTTAAGATGTTATATAGGCATATATAAAGGCGTAAACATAGGATAAAATAATATATGTATGCATAGGTTTATTTGCCGAGTACCTAGGAGCAGAAAAAGATGACTGTCAAAGAATTACTGCATTTTTTATATGTCTTCTATAACATCAGAACCTATTACTGGGTACCCAGGGGCAAAGTAATGTACAATTTTGGAAATGGGACTCTTAACTACTCATTATAAGTATATACTTTAAATGTACTTAGTTTGTTTGCATTCTATCAAGAAGCACTTTTACCATGCAAAATTTGGTTGATAATGGTTCAGTCAGTAATGGATAATTTGTTACTGATGGGACACACAACAACTGATGAAAAGAGAAGCAATAGGTCTAAAAACAAATAACAATAAATTGACACTTGCATCCCTCAAGTGTCCATATTAAGGTCATATGCAATGTAGTTTGAACTTTTTCGGATTCTTCCCTGGAGTTGAAGAGTTCCACTAAATGAAGGATATGTGTGTAATATTTTTAATGTCTATATATGGATTTGTACACCTCTTCTGAGACAATTTTTGATGAAAAGAAAATCTGGAATTTATGTTATATAATTTTTGTACATTTTTATTTGAATAATGCAAACATTTTCAAAATTTAATATCTTCTCAAAACCCCAGGTAACCATTGCTGATTTTTTGTCTAAGAAGATGTAATGATATTATAAGTTTAAATTTAGAATATCTTGGAAAATTATCAGTAGGTAAGGTACGTTGCGTATGTCCCTAATGAAATTAAATTTCAATCCTTACCAATGCATAAAAGTCACCTTGAAGTTGGTCTTCTCCTCTGAATTGGTCATTCGGATGGTGATAACCAGAAATTGCCGAGAAGTCAGGTATACCCCTGCAGTCGAGCCTTTATTTGCATTTACTCCACATTCTTCTCTTGTGTCACTAGCTGAAATGTATCATATTATTGAGAATCTCACAAATTTCAGAATTTTTTATAAGCTGGTATTTTTACAATTGTACTTTTTTTTATAAAATGCATTTAAAGTTTCGATCAACAATGCATGAAATCAAAATGAAAAATTTTACGACACATTTTGACCAAAAACAGGATATGTTTGTGAAACACTGATGCCCCCGTATGACAACATAGCAAAGATTAAACTTTTCTTAAATGCAAATTTAATTAATAGGTACCAAAAGTAGGATATTCTCACTGGAAAGCAATTGTGAAATTTGAAAGCAGGCCATTATTAAAGTTTTTTTTCAATAAGTACAAAAATCTCCAAGGTCAAGTCCTAAAGGCTAAGTTACTAATTGGTATCCAATGAAAGGTCTTGCCACATAGAATTACTTATGTAGAGTATGGAAGCCCTAGCCCTAACCTTTCAGAAGTTATGGCCAAGGTTAATTTTCTTTTAAAAGTAGGTCAAACTCCAAGGTCAAGGTCAAAGGGTCAAAGTTCTTGTTATCAAATAAAAGGTCTTGTCACAAGAATTAAATATGTAAAATATGAAAGCACTAGCCCTAACCCTTTGAAAGTTATGGTCAAGGCTTGTTTTTTAAAGTAGGTCAAACTCAAAGGTCAAGGTCAAAGGGTCAAAGTGCTTGGTATCCAATGAAGGGTCTTCTCACAAGGATTATATATGTGAAGTATGAAAACCGTATCCCTTACCGTTCAAAAGTTATGGCCAAGGTTCAAGTTTTGCACAGGTACAGAAATCTACAAGGTCAAGGTCAAAGGGTCAAGGTTGTTGGTATCCAGTGAAAGGTCTTTCAATAAAAAATACACATGTGAAGTATAAATGTCCTGGTGTCTACTGTTCAAAAGATATGGCCAAAGTAAAAGTGTAAAATTATCATGTAAAAGTGAGTCAAACTCCAAGGTCAAGAGGTCAAATTTGGTAGTACCCAAAGAAAGATCTTGTCACAAGGAATACAGATGTGAAATATGAAAGTCATGGCTCCAATAAATCAAAAGTTATGGGCAAGGTTAAAGTTTTTGAGGACAAACAGACAGACAGAGAGACGGACACGACAAAAACTATAAACTGTACCCCAACACTTTGTTTACGGGGGCATAAAAAGGGCTAACTTAAGCTTCTGGCTTAGGTGAGAAAAATTCAATGAAATATTCCCAGCTTAGTCATAATTGGTCACGAGATTAAATTCCATAAAGCCCGAAGGGTTTCTATGTAAAACTTTGATTGGCCATTGTGGACCCGCCCTTCCCCTGGGGGTCATGATTTGAATAAACTTGAATCTACACTACCTGAGGATGCTTCTCTGTAAGATTCATCTTTCCTGGCACAGTGGTTCTTGAGAAGAAGATTTTTAAATCATACCATCAAATTTTCATTATTTCTGAATTATCTCCCCTTTGATATGGCATGGCCCTTCATTTGAACTAACTTGAATCTCCTTCACCTAAAGATACTTTGTGCCAACGAAGTGTGGTTGAATTTGGCCCACTTGGTTCTTGAGAAGAAGTCGAAAATGTGAAAAGTTAATGACAACAACAACGACAACAGACAGACAATGGACAAACTTTGATCAGAAAAGCTCACTTGAGCCTTCGGCTATAAAATACTTACATGTACTTTTGACAAATTGGGAAAATTTAGGAGTTAGGACTACTCTGGTACTTGAAATCTGATCCTTGTGATGACAAGTAACTGTGCCTATACAGAGAAACTAAAAAATGTTAGGTACCGTAGGTTCAATAACATTTAGTTCATTATCTCTTTGTCACTTTATTTAAATTTATAAATTAACGAAGATTATATACATGTATTTACATTAAAGAAATGCAAGATAAGCAAATATAAGCTGAATGGTTAAGGTTTTGCTACATGTATACATGTGATAACAAAATTGTTATACACGTAATAACAAAACTGTTATTGATAGTTATACACGTAATAACAAACAATGTATACCACAGGCTCTGCAAAAAATATTTCTCTCTTAGATTTTTTTTCTTACCTGCTTACATGTATCATATTTATAATCTTTGAGAAGCTATCAGTGTGGTATAATGGAGTGCCGTGCATAGATCTGCTTATAACCAGCAAATTATACTTGTGAGTATAGAATACAACATTTAATAAATATTTTCGAATTAATAAATATTTTGTAAATATATGTACAGTACGACTCATTTTAGGGAAGTGACTAGGACTTTCTGTCTTGCATTCCAGATGTAAGTAAGCCTCTTTATATCTGCAAACATTTTGGAATGCACATGCACAGGTACTTGTGGACAGGACAGTGGGGTATTTTTTTTTGTTGAGGGGTGGAAGGATTTTTTCAAAGGGGGGGGTATTATAATGTACATTTTACACCTGCATGTAGTTATAACTAAATAGGATACCGGACGGGGTATGGTTTTTAAAGGAGGAGGTTGATATAAAACTAGGAAAAAATATTTGTATGGATTACCTGAAAAATTTTTGAAAAAGAAAGGAAAATATTGATCTCAGAACCTGAGAATCCTATCCAACAACATTAGCTTTTCACTGAACATTTCCTATGGTAAAAACACAAACAAACAAAAAATTGGAACTTAATTCTTATCATTCCTTTTTTTTTTTTCTTTTTTTTTTTGCAAATCCAAAAGGGAGGGTTGCAATTTACCACCGTAGTTAGAATAATCTTAAGCCCTCACCGGGTACGTAGGACATTAATTTTTATCATTTAAACGATAGAACATCAACATTCTATCTACAACCCCCCCCCCCCCCCAATGCTACGTGTGTTTAAAATTTGATTGCTACAGTTTAATTTTATATACTAGATCCCAATGCAACAGGAATTAAAAACACATTAAAACATTAGGCCTATCAATAGGCCAATAATATTGTAAGAAAAGCAGAGAACCTGTACTAGGCCCATCTTTCATTTTCAACACATAACGTTATGCGTTACCATAGATAATGTTAGATCCACTTGAATCTCATATCTGTTATTAAGCTGTCAACAAATATTCCCAAATAAAGTTATTACATCCGTCTGATATAAAAAGAAGATGAGAATCTTACAAACTTACAGAAAATATGGAGTTGAAAACATTCTGCTCTTTCTTTCTTTCTTTCTTTCTGCTTTCTAAGTCGCATGATGACGTAATTTGTGACGTACGGCATTCCATAAAAGAACTAGCTTTGATTCCATAAAGTAAATTTATTTCACTTAGTCATCTGCGTTCGTCTTTGAAGTTGAGATGCATTTTTAAGATAAAAATTTGAACGACTAATATTACAAAGATTAAGGTATTTCCCGATTCTTGGATGAATACGAAACCGATTAGCCAGGTTCTACTTGCACTTCCTGTTACAGAAAAAAAATCCGAGTCAGCAAGAGCTCCTTTCTATGGTTTGTTCTAGACTTTCCTTTTGGCTGATTGTGATATACTTCTTTGAAACAATGGTAAATATGTATGCTTTGTTGATTTTTTGTCATATTTTGTGGTTATAATTCAACTTGCAACGAAATCTTTCAGAGTAAATTCGGATTGCGTTCTCATTTCAGGTTCTACGTAACGCAGTCAGGTGAATCGACTGGTCCTTTTTATGCTTAGTGACATCTATATGAAGGTTTACTAAATTTTGAGTAATTTAAGGTTATTTTTATTTAAACTAATTGTCATTACAAGTTTCTACATATGTGTCAGAACACAACACACAGACAGTGTTTTTGTTCTGACACATGTAAACACAACTTTTATAGACCAAGTGTATCCCATAAAATAATTTAGACATAGGTCAAACAAAAGGTTTAATCTTCTAGGGGATTAATTTGAGGTCCATGCAAAAAAAGTGTAACTTTATATTGCATCTGATTTATTCACAGTTGAGGTATTCTAATTATTCTGTGCAGATTTTAAAAAAATCAATCTTTTCAGTATTTACTGTTGTCTGTAATATATTAAAAATTCATCAATTACATGTTTATTGTCATCCAATTGGAACATCATAATTAAAATGAAAATTTTTATCTCATTTATGGTTCAATAGCAGCCCGATATATAGAGTCGCTAGGTCAATAACACACCGTATGGTGTCTGACACATCCCTTTAAAGTCTGATATGCAGTTATGAATCTGTTAAACACATGGTCTTTTCTGTTTCGCTCTAAACATAAAGTACCATTTAACATACCGGTACTCAGTAATTCAAGTTGCCAAAACATGGACTTTTCAAGTGATATCATTGAATTTATTGTATTTAATGTCATCCTAATCTAGGAATTTGTCCCTTTGACCTAAACAATTGGAATATTGGTATGGGTAATAGTATTTTATAATAATTGATATAATAATTAGATAATTAATTAATTAATTAATTAATAATCTTTGTAGGAAACACTTGTCAGGACACAAGACTGAAAGAAAGACGTACTGAAAAACTGCCTGTAAACACAACAATCATTAAAGTCAATGGATTACCCAGGAACATCCAAGCAATATGATATCAGAGACTGGCAATTTTTATCACTTGATGTGGCAGAAAAACCTAAATAAATATTGAAATGTTCAATTTCTTTGTTCATTGCTTTTCTCTTGTGTATATGAATATCGCATAATATTTATGTGAATTTCGCACAATTTTTACGTGAAAAACTGATAATTTGGAATTCGCATGAATATCATGCGAAATTTCAGTCACATGAAAATCGCATGAATTTCGCATAAATATTATGTGAGGACATTCGCATGAAATTCGCATGTGGAACTTTTCGCATGGTTTTTATATGATTTTCGCACGAAATTCATGCGAAAAGGCAATCGCATGAAAATCATGCGAGCCACTTTTCCCTGTGTACAAAAACTTGTGTTCTAAAATTGACGTCATCTTGCCTACTATGACGTCATAATGTAGCACTGAGTTAGTCAATGTAGAATATTTTGTATGCTTCCTTATTACCCCTGCGTATTTAAAGTTGTTTCACTGAGTTGAGGGTTTCTGCAGAAGGAGTGTTTACTCGCTTGATGGTTTGTCTTGCGGTAGCCATTTTGCTATTCCAACACCTTTTGAAATCAGGAACACTCATTTTAAGAACATGGGTGCTGTAGGCTACAAATTAAAAATCAAACAATGCATCAAGTAATTTATCATTTTTTATGATTTCAAAACTATATATATCCATTCTTTTCTTTACAAAATCTGAAACATTTAGAACTAACTTTAACTTAAAAGTGTTTAGTAAAACATTTAAATATTATATGACTTTTTAAAATATATGTAGACATATAGATGTAGAAAGAAGGATATGGAAATAACGAACAGTATTCAATCTCAACGTCCATTAAACAAATATACAAAATAAGAGCAGAGCAAACACGGACCCCCGAAACATCAGAGGTGGGATCAGGTGCCATGGAGGAGTAAGCATCCCCTGCTGACCGGTCACACCCGCCGTGTGCTCGTTGTCATAATCAGGATATAACGGAAAAAATCCGTGGTCAATTCAGTGTATAAATAATGGACTAACAATTGGTATGAAAAACGTCAGTCAGCATTTCATTCAATGATAAATTGTATTTGCTGACAAGGTCATTGTATCGACCATAGAATTTACGAAATGATGACTTCAAACGAGACTGTTGATATTCTTGTTTCATCAACTTGCTTGTCAATAATTTACCTCGTTTAAGAAATTGTTCATACGTAGAGCATGTTCTTGCATATCGAATCAACTGAGATATAAATACTCCGTATGCAGGTGATGAAGGTATATTGCTGCATAAGTAAGGGAAGTTGACGATAGAAAAGTTAAAGTCATCACGTTTATCATATAGCTTGGTTGTTAGATTACCATTAGTGTCTTTTTCAAGTAAAATATCCAAGTATGAAGCAGAAGTGTCGGACTCTGTGGTATCTTTTATTTCAAGCTCACCAGGATATATCGTGTCGACGTAGGAATGAAAAATATCATTATTAATAGACAATACGTCGTCGATATATCTAAATGTCGAGTTGAAGGCCACAGCAAGAAACTTACACATCAGGGCAGCATACAATTGATTCTTTTTGAAGGAGTGTATACCTCCTTCCACTGCCAACTCCCAGGGATAAAAAAACATCAATGAGGCGTTTTATAATTTCAGATTCCCTGTTTTCTCGTATCGAGGAACCTTTTCGCTGAGCCTTTTTTTCTTTCTTTGCCCTGGCCTTTCCAATTGTAGATAAAAGATCATGAAGCCATAGGGAACGAACTGCTACACGACAACCTGGAGCAAACATGCTGTAGCCATCTGGAATTTTCCCATCCTTTTTAAGTTCAATCTGTAAAGTTCAAAATTCAGATACAATGCTCTCACTCAGTAGTTTATGAATGTTACAAGTAATTAAAAAGAATATCTAGCCTACTTTTAATGGGAATTTATATTAAACCCATACTTACAAAGTATGCCATATCAATTTGCGGTCTAGTTTTTGGTTGATATCGTCTTTTCTTTGCACTGGCATTTTCCACGCAAGATGGTGACGAAGCTAAAAAAAAAGAGAGAAATAAATGTGTTCATATTTCATTATTATAATAATTAAATTAACAAAATTAAGTTGTAAAAGACTATAAAGTAGCCTGAATACATTCTTACCAATCTCTTTCAGCTCTTCAATTAAAGCTTGAAGGTCTTTAATTTTTTATCTTTGATAACACAATCAAGACAATCACTACTGGCACTTAATGGGGTGGAAGTAGAAATTTCAGAGGGATCAAAATCATCCACTTCAGCTCCCTCTATTGCCATAAATGAAGAAGTCATGAAGTTAGTGTTCGTTGTACTATGGGAGCTGCAGGAAGCACTGGTATTGTCAGCTGGTAGATAGGAGACTGGGGACCATATTGGTGGGTAGCAGGGTTTTGGGCGGTGAGGATTTACAAGAGGGGTGAAAGACTGAGCTTGACATGCTATTGGAGATGAATTTGAACTAGTTAAGGGAGGAAGGGGTTGAATGGAAAAATCAGCAAGATCCATGCCAGTCTGTGAGTGGAAACAGAGGCAAAAGGCTGATAGAAACTACTAGTACTGTTAATGGGATTCATACTGGTTGATGCATCAGGACTGGGAGAACACACATTTAAACTAGCAAGACCCAAGGGTTGTGAAATATGATGATTTGGATGAGTTAATGTTGAATTGAAATTTAATGCAGGATACGCATTTGTGACATGCGTGCTGGAGGTGTCAAGCATACTTGGTGTCATACAAGGGGAAGGGTAACTACTTATGTCATGCGTGCTGGATGAAGAGCTGAGAGCGGGAACACTACTGGTGACATGCGTGCTGGATGAAGAGCTGAGAGAGGGAACACTACTGGTGACATGCGTGCTGGATGAAGAGCTGAGAGAGGGAACACAACTGGTGACATGCGTGCTGGATGAAGAGCTGAGAGAGGGATCACTATTAGTGTCATGCGTGCTGGATGAAGAGCTTAGAGAGGGAACACTATTAGTATCATGCGTGCTGGATGAAGAGCTGAGATAGGGAACACTACTAGTGACATGCGTGCTGGATGAAGAGCTTAGAGATGGAACACTACTAGGGACATGCGTGCTGGATGATTGAGATGTGCAGGAAGGCATGCTTTTAGATGAAACAGTATTAAATTCAGGTACCTGCAAACATGCTGGGTTGCATGCAACTGTTTTTCTTTGGAAAAGAGATGCTGCAGCCATCTGGGCTGCACTCGTGATGGCCTCTTTCCGTTTTTTCTTTTCTGCTTGAATTTCTAAAAAAATAGAAGACTTCATTCAAAATTCAGTTAAACAAAATTTATTTTACAATATTGATGATATACTTGACAATATAAAAGTTACCTTGTGCTTAATATATATAAAATAATAAATACTGACCTTTTTTCTTTTTCTTAATCACAACTTGACAGTCTGAATCATCAGAGTCCACATTTATATCATTTTCTTTCCCTCTGTTCTTTTTCTTTTGTCTTCTTTCATCTTTCTCTTTGGTCTTCTTCACTGTCTTTGGTTTTTGGAGTTCTTTTGCATCTTTTTCTTTTGAAATAAATTTTTATTCCACAATTACAACACTTCAAGTGAGAAAGATTCTTTAATTTTTTTTTTGGACTCATCATTATGAGAATACTAATTATAGCCAATACTATACAAGTTACCAGCACATGTATTTTCATTAAATATGTCACATACTTTTTTGCTTGTTTTCTTCTTCTTCTTCGTCTGATTCACTGGATGAAAATGTATTATGGGCAGCTGAAATTTTACAAAATGTTGAAAAATTTTGATGAAATTCAGCTCTCATAAAAATTTTGTTTGTTTACATTTGAAGAGCTGGTATCATCAAAGTCCATCAATTTAACACAAAAATTGTATAAATACCTTGTAATATCCTATTTCCTTTCTTTTTGCTTTTATGTTTCTCATCTTTTCCTGAAATATTAAAGTACACGTATATATATAAAACAAACAGAAAGGAATACAAAATACCTTACTTGTACATATATCAGTGTATTCAAATTTAACACAATCAAGGGCAAGAAATTGTTGGCGTAATCATGAATTAGCGTTAAAAATGTCTGTGCCCTGTATTTTATAAGTAGATCACTAGATAATTACTTAGTGGTATTCATTAATTAGTACATTCTTATCCGCGACAAAGCAGCTAAAATATGAAGAAGCCTGCACATGCTTTTGTAAAGTACACATACAGTAGTTCAATTCTTTTTTTTTTAGCCTAAATCTTATCGGAATCATGAAAAGGACATTTTACCTAATCTGTTTATTTCTAGCACCTCAGCCAAATAGTGGTGGGTGTTCTTCCATAATGCTGCCACAGTTTGTCCAATTTTAAGTTCATCAAAATTTAGCTTTTCATCTGTTTCTGCATTTAAAATTTCATCATTTAAGAACGCTGAATCATAGGTTTCTGTTTTGCCATCATCTAAAAACTGTACTTTCACATATGGTGCTGAAATAAAATATAAAGTAATAACATATTAATTGTAATTAATATCCACATGTCAATAAAAATAGCTTTTTCTAAAAGATAATATAAATTGTTGCTAAATAAACTTACGTAGGTGAATCAAGCAACATAGCTATAAAATTGTAATGATTGTACCAGAAATGCATGTTGTACATACCGGTACGTACATGCTGGATTTTTTGTGTATTATTCTTCTTGTATTAGCCTATATACACATATGCATGAGTCGTTACATGATAAAAAAAGGATTGAGATAATGTAAATTCTTTTCATTACTTTGTCTGTTGATTAGAATCAAATCAGGGTCGGCGCTTTCCTCAATTTTCTTTGGTCTTTCGATAACACGTTTCCCTGACATTTTGACCGCCGGCGGTTTAAAATTGGCGCATTTCCACTGCGCTGTTAAATACAACCCCCGAGTGTCGTGTATAGTTCTCAACTCCTTGAGAATTCTTCGCTTTAAATATCAATGTAAAGTATATATACTTAATTTCCAGATTATTGCATTTTTAGAATTTTTTTTTTTGCAAAGAACTATCACAATTAGGCACTTTTTTAAAAATTTTTACTAGGGGGGAGAAATTGTAATGGCTGAATCACCGGATATCGGATATGAGCGAGTCGTGCCTAAAAATGTCTACACACAAATTTAACTTCCAAAAAAAAATAAATCTTCTCTATTACAAAGATTACATACACACGCATAAATGTTTGAATATGTGGTGAAAAAACAAAAATCAAAGTATTAAATATTTAATAAATTCATAGCAACTAGGAAAAATATAGAGTGCATTAAAGGTTGACTTATCTAAATTCTCCACTTCCGTTTTACAGTAGACTCGTGTTTTCTTTGTTTGGAATGATAAGTATCCGGTTACAAGATTAAATATCGAAAAAATACTGATAACAAGTCTTTGAAACAAACATGGCAGACGATGAGAACAACTTGAACAAGCAACAAAGTAAGTAAATATACCGGTAGTAAAATTCAAAGTGTATGGATTTCTTGCGTACGAACGAAGCAACTTGAACAGGTCCAGCACGAAACCCTGATAAAGGTATATACCTTGATAAAGCTATGTAGCTTTATCAAGGTATTACAAATACCTTGATCAAAGTTATTTATGTCATGAAAATTCAAAACAAATTCTTTTTGTTTTGAAACGCTGACACAAACGCTCACACGACACGTTTTTGTACTGATTTGTTTGTGTTAAAGTGCTTTACATGCATGGATGAATTTACTGACAACAACTCAGAACTCAAATTTCAGTATTTAATTTTTTAAGAATGTTTTTGAATTTTCATGACATAAAATACCTTGATCAAGGTATATGTAATATACTTTGGTAAAGCTATATAGCTTCCATCAAGCTATATACCTTTATCAGGGTATTGTACTGGACCTGTTTGACCAAATTTTTAATTACATAAATTCCATTGATTCATATTTTAATATACAGCTTCTTATTTAAATATCTCTTCATTACTAGGTTCACAAGACTTCCGTGTAAACACACGGTTGCAAGTTAGACCAAGAAGCTATAAGAGACGCTTTAAGAAGGCCAAATTTGAAAGCAATGAAAGACAAGATGATCATGATGATTCGTTAAGTGACCCAGGACCATCAAACACTTTACAAAGTGACACGGTAAACTCCAGTGAAAGTCAATTTCTTGAGAGTGTAAACAACGAAGATGTACTGTACAGAACTGGCAAATGCATGAAAGATGATGAAGATTATGATATGCAAGATATATCCAATTCTGATACTGAAGATTTGGACACTGAATCATGTGAAAGCGAATTGATTGATTTCATCAGGAATCAAGAAAACACGGTGCTTGAGAGTTTATTGGATGATTTAAATCCGCTTGAGCAAAATGATTATGAAGAGGATGAAAACATTTTCAATGATGAAGAAGCAAATGAAGATATCTCCTCGGAAAAGATTTCAGAATGTAACCCAGTTCAGCCTGGACATTCGTTAACGGTAAAAGCAAGTGTACTTTTGATATGGATTTTTGCAATCACCCATTCATTAACATCATCCCAGTTACAGGACCTGTTAACTTTGATCAACATACACTTGATTGCTTCAAATCCAGCATTTGAGAGCCTACATAGATTTTAAACTTTCTTCGCAAACTTGGAATTACCAGCAAAAAGGCATTATTTCTGCTCTTATTGTACTGCACATGTTGATGTTGATCAAAATATGTGCTCAAATCCTGCATGCTCTAAAAACTTGGGAAAAAATGCAAAAGATTACTTTTTGGAATTGGATGTAGAGTCTCAGTTGACAAATTTTTATTCCCAAGAAGAATTTTTAGAAGGATTGAGTCACAGATTTACACGTGTAAAGAAAAAAATGAACAACATTGAAGATGTATATGACAGTTCACAATATCGAAAACTGTATGAAAATGGTGGACCATTGAGTAAAAAAAATAACATCAGCTTCACTTTCAACACTGACGGTGTACCAATTTTCAAAAGTTCAAAAACATCAATTTGGCCAATCTTTTTAATGATAAATGAACTACGTACAGGATGAGAAAGAGTAAAAAGTACATGATTCTAGCTGGACTGTGGTGCGGATCAACGAAACCGTCTATGAACACCTTTCTAGAACCACTGTCAAATACGCTCTCTAAACTGGAAAAAAGGAGTGTCCATAACAACAGATTCTCAAACAACTCATGTTGTGAGAGCCTTTCTGTTCGCAGTTTCTTGCGATCTACCTGCCCGCAGTGCAGTCCTGAACATAAATCAACATAACGGAGAAGGCTGTTGCATTAAATGTGAACAGAATGGAGAAAATCATCGTACAGACAGTGGCGGAAATATAAGAATTTTTCCATACAACAATAACCATCCAGATCCAACTGAACCAAGAAGAACCCATGAATCGGTTGTAAGAAATGCTCAAGAAGCAATGGAATCGAAAAGGACAGTTAATGGCATCAAAGGTCCATCTATTCTCATGTTCTGTCCTCAGTTTGATACTGTGAAAGGAATTTCAATTGATTACATGCATCTCATTTGTCTTGGGAGTGTACGACTACTTACCAAGTTGTGGTTTACTATAGCAAACAGTTTAAAAACATTTTCACTGTACAAGTATGTAGATGTTGTTAATTCAAGACTTCAATCTATAAAGCCACCTCACATCATTACCAGAAAACCACGCTCAATTAGTGAACATTTGAAATTCTGGAAGGCTGCAGAACTTAGATCCTGGTTATTTTACTACTCAATTCCTTGTGTTTTTGACCTTTTGCCACCACTATACCTGTATCATTATTGTATATTTGTTGAAGCACTGTTCTTACTTTCTCAAAGCAGTATTAGTGAGCATGATATTGAAAAAAGTGAAAAGTTACTTCAGTATTTTGTCTTTATGTTTCCCTCATTGTATGATGCAAGATATGTAACTATTAACATACATTCATTACTGCACTTACCAACAACTGTGAAAGAACTTGGTCCTTTATGGTCAACATCATGTTTTGCTTTTGAAAGTGCTAATGGTGACTTGCTTAAGTTGTTCCATGGAACACAGTGTATTGATTTGCAAATTGTTAATGCAGTTCATGTTTTTCAAAAGTTGCCCCTGCTTTCACAATCAATTTCAACTGTATCTGTTGCTCACAAATTGGTTGCCAAACTTACAAAACAAAGAGAAAACAAACATACATCTCAGTTTTCACTTCTTGGAAAAGGTTATGATAAAATGTTGACCAACTCACTTAAAGTGGCATTGTGCAATTTTCTTCAAAAGAACACTTTTGATCTGAAATTTTACAATAGAGCTGTAATTAGAGATCTTTTATATCAGAGTATAGATTTTTCAAGAGTTTCTCAAAGAAATTCATATACCGTGAAGTATTTTGAAAACAAGAAAGCATGTTTTGGTTACATTATGTGGTTTGCTGATCAGGATGAGGAGTGTTCAGACACATCCAACAAACTAGTTTGTATTCAAAAACTAGAACCAGTATGTTTTGATTTGTTTAATATGCACCATGAGAATGTGATCCCAGATAGACATATCAATGAAAACTTTATGGATGTACAGATTCCACATATGCATTTTGTACAACTGTAGATAAAGAATGTATTGTTCATCTTAGTGATATTCTGGACTTGTGTGTATGTATTGAAATTGAAAGAATGAAAGAAATTTGTGAAAAGAAATGACAGAGGTGTCCTCTGGATTGTATATTGTTTTCAAAAATTCAAAATAAAAAAAACAAAAACGATAACTTGTTAGACTTTGTAAAAGGATATATCAATATCATGAGAAAAAGGATGCAAACACAATTTCACCATGAAAATCATCGATTCTGCTTCACCCATTGATTGATTGAGCAGATGCACGTTTATGTATTAGTTTAATGATGTACCAACAAATCACACCCAAACTTCAAGTTAAATGTGTAATGTCAGGTTAAAGATTTGGTGCCGTTGACCACCCCTGGAATTGCAGGTGAAAGTCCTGCCAGGGGCAATAAGAACTTGGGTTGTGTCTTTGACGGTGAAGACATTTAAGGAGGGAGGAATTAATGTAATGGTTTGGGCTACGGATATCTGCCTGGATAGCTCAGTTGGTAGAGCACCTGACTGGAGATACAAAGGGTCTCGGGTTCGATTCCCGGTCCAGCCATACATTTTCTCCTTTCCTATTACAAAATTATGAAACATCAAGAAATCATTTAAAAAATATATATATATATAGACCAAGGAACATGAGTCAAATGCTACACTATTGTAAAACAATGTTTGTATGGAATAAGTGTAATGAACTACAAACAAATTATAAGCCCTGAGACACTGAAGTCAAATGCTATACTATTAAACCACTGTTAAAAGGGAATAAGTTAAATGAACTACAAACAAATTATAAGCCCTGAGACATTGAAGTCAAATGCTATACTATTAAACCACTGTTAAAAGGGAATAAGTTAAATGAACTACAAACAAGCTATAAGCCCTGAGACATTAAAGTCAAATGCTATACTATTAAACCACTGTTTTAAGGAAATAAGTGTAATGAACTACAAACAAATCACTTTTAGCTGAAATGAAAGACTAACAAACCACTTCAGTTATTTTTAGCAACAGTGTAGCATTAGTGTTTCATTAAATGCTATACTATCAAACCACTTTAACAAACCATAAAAGAATAGTTTGTTAGTGGTTTGATTATGGTTTGAAAGTAGTTTGTTAGATTTTTTTTCCGTTTGGGACATTTTGCGTTGTAACAAAGCCTATTAACCCTATTTTTTATTTGAAATTTTATTAACCTGTGTAGAAACCTAAAATATACTGTTCTTGAAAACAAGCGTATATGCCCTTGCACTATCTTCATTTCATGCATTCGGTT